TTAATCTCTATAATTAATAGCCAAATGAATATTATTATTATTATTATTATTATTAGTGCGCATAGTTACGCGTATTGTTTTATAGTTACAGTACGGTTCTGTATCTGTAAAATACACTTTTTAGGTACTTTGTAGAATTTTCTTTACCGCGTGCTTTCTTAAAGATTTCCTTTCAACCTTTCATGGTACGAGTTCAAAATGTCCAAGTTGATATTAAGTAGATAATGTTTAGTAGCTTAAAATTATAGGTAATCTAAAAATTTTTTTAAATTTAAAAGTAATTAATTTATTGTAATCTTTTTTTAAATTGTAATTTTAAATTTAAAGTTTCGTGTTATAGATTGCTTTAATTCTTAGATTTTGTCTAGCGTTAAAATATATTTATGGGTAGTTTTATGCTTACACATAGTTTCGGTTATTGGGATAAAAGCGATGACAACATTTTGTTATAAATTTATCTTAATTTAATTTTTATTGAAAATTTTGAAATTAATAAAATTTATCTTTAATATTGTTAATACTTTTGCTCTTTGAAAAAAAATATGTTTCTGGCTCTTCAATAAATATAAAATAATTTGTCTTGCATGAATGATTTTTGGTTTAGGATTTATTTGTGTTATTTATGTTTGTCTATCTTTAATTTATTTAGGTTATTAGAAAATTAATGTTTACAGAGTTGTTATTAATCATATTCGAGTTGTTAAATCAAGGAAATTGTGGAGGTTTATTTATCATATAAACTATATATATTATATAATTATATTGGAGGGAGTAAGTTTAAAAGCATTCTTAAATTTTTAAAAAGAAATAAAAATACTTTTCAATATATATCTGTTTTCTTTGAGGTAGAATTAAAGTTTGAATTTTTTAAAATTTAAAGTTTCAAGTTTTCTAAATCGTAATCTTTTTAAAATGTCTAAGTAGACATTGAGTATTTATAAATCTTTTTGAAATTTTATAAGTAATTAGTTTATTGTAATCTTTTTTAAATTTTAATTTTAAATTTTAAGCTTCGTGTTATACATGTGAATTTTGAAAAAATAGATTACTATAACTCTTAGATGGTGTCAACTATTAAAAGACATTTATGTTTAGTTTCATGCTTTCAAATGCTTTTAACAACTGAGATAAAAGCCACAACATGATTTTGTTATAAATAAAATTTATCTATAGTTTTGTTAAAACTTTGGCTCTTTAAAAAAAAAATTTTTCATTTCTTTTCAAAAAGTTTAATAATTTGCCTTGCATGATTTAATTTTGGTTTAGGATATAATTGTGTTATATGTTTGTTTTTCTATTTATATCTAATTTATAAAGATTTAATTTATAGCTAAGATATATATAATTTATTCAATTTAAAATTAAGATATAAAATAAAATATCTAATTTATAAAGATTTAGATCATTAGAAAATTTATATTTACAGAGTTGTTATTAATCATAATCAAGTTGTTGAACCAAAAAAACTGTAGAGGTTTATTTATCAAATATGCTATATATATTATATAAAAAATTTTGGTTTTCATATTTCGCTAATAAATAGTTATATATATATATATATATATATATATATATATATATATATATATATATATATATATATATATATATATATATATATTATATATATATATATATATATATATATATATATATATATATATATATATATATATATATATATATATATATATATATATATATATATATATATATATATATATATATGTATATATACATATATATATATATATATATATATATATATATATATATATATATATATATATATATATATATATATATATATATATATATATATATATATAACTATGTATATCCTTGGAGTTGCGGCAGCGTAATAGTGTGTTGGGGGAAAAAAATTTATAAACCTGTGTTAATAACCCGTTTTCTATTGTACATATCGCGTCAATAAGTTTTACAGCCGTTTTGTTCAATGTTTTCTCCCAACGCATGCTTTATGACGCTGTATGCAAAGATTTGTTGTTTGTTTCTAAATTTTTTTTTCTTTATTAGAAACAGAATAAATTTTAACTTTTTGTATTAAGTTTTTGCTAATATGGTTCCAGGTTTTTCTTAACTTCTATCAAATAAACTTAAGAAACCTCTAATACTTTTGATGATGGCAAACTAATTTTATTTTGCATTAGTTTGGATTCTATATATTATTGTTTTGAAAATTTTTTTTCAATTTTGTGAGTAAGATTTTTTTATTTATTTATTAAATTTTTTTGTTTTATTGTTAACTTTAGAGTAGTAAAAAAAAGAAATAATTAGTGTTGCTTTGATAAATATGTTTAATCAAAATGATGACATTAAAATAAATGATAGGCTAGATGAAGTTATGTATTTACAGTTTATGTATTTGCTTAAGTTATTTTTTTCTTACTTTAGACAACTTTATGGATGATATAAGGGGGATGGGTAAAACAATTATTTAGATATGTATATATTTATATGTTAACATTATTTTATTGATTATTTTATATTTATTTAAGTATATATTTGTCTTTATTGAACATTTGTTTAACTCACTGCTTTTAAAATTTACCAATACCCAAGGCAATATATTTAGCTATATAAATACAATTTATTTATCTCGATACGATTCTTTATCTTTTATGTTTATAGTTTGGCTCCTTAAGGCATTTTATGTTTTTTTTTTTTTTTATTATGAGTATTTTAAATCCGTTGTGATGTCTTTTACATTAAACTAAAGTTTACTAAAAGCCAACATAAAAATTACGTTTTTGAACAACACCAAAAAGAACAGCTGCATCCCTACAGCAACTGCTGCAGTATTACAATAGGTTAACAAAAGCAGGTATACTGTTTTCCAGTTGTTGTTTTTTTTTCATATATATCTACTTGTTTATATAATACTATAGTACGATTGTTTATATCTCATACATTTTTTTTTTCTTTGTCTTTAAGTTTTAATAATTTTATTCTTCGAATGAGATTAGTTAAACAAGTCGGCTTTCGATTAAAGATATTGGTTTCAAAATTGAACACCATTGGCAAAATGCTTACAAAATTAGGTAGTTTTTATAAATCTGTTTTCTATTTAATACTTTTTTTTTTAAATATACTTTTTAAATATACTTTTTTAATATACTTTTCTATAACAGTCCTACTAATATGGAATCACGTAGCTTTTTAAATATGTTTAATTGTCGTCCCAATTGGTAATAAATATTTTAAATTATTTGATATGGTTTTCTTTACAATAGGCTATGCTGAGCTCCTCGGTGCTGTAAATGGTGGCTTCAACTTTGTATTTTTAAGAAAAATGTGTTTTATATATGCTTCTGTTTTAAAATATTTTTGTTACATATTTAATTATATATCATGTAAATAAATTTCTTTTAAAGATATGTAAACTTGATACTTGCTCTTTTACGGATTTTCAAAAAGAGAACAAAGGTTTAAATATATTTTTTAACTGTCTTATATGATTTTATCAATTTTATTAAAGCTGAATAATTACTTCAAAAATATTGAGTAAAATCCAATTGCTTTTATTATTAACTTGATCTATACAAAAATTAATGAAATAAAACTAATAATTTAAGGTCAAGGAAGGCAAAATGTATTTCGGTCATTTTATAAAATTAGTATAAATATGGATTGGATGTATGCTGAAATAAATATGTTGATACACGTTAGCTATTAAAGTAAACCCATATATTCCTTTATTGTTTTTTTATAAACCAGTTTCTGCTAGATTACTAATCAAAAAAAAGGTTGGTTTAATAATAATCTTTATCATGATAATATAGGATTCGTATGCAGGGCTAACCCCCTTTCGGATTTGCAATATATTTTTCAAATTATAGTTTTTCCGGATATCTAATTTCTATGCCTACAAGTTTGGGTGTAATATTTTAGATGTTTTAAAAATATTTTAAAAGTATATTAAAAATATTAAAAAGTTTTGGTGCGATAGTGACATATTTTTAGGCTCTTCACTCAGTAAAAGGAAAAGTGTAAAAAAAAAAGAAACGACTCAGCTTAAAGCAAAATTAAGAGTAGAATATATTCCCAATATTTACCTAAACAATTTTACGGAATTTGAAAATTTGACATCAATGTTCCGTGCATATAATTCAAGTCATTTTTAACCACTACATAGTTGTGATTTGCGCATTCAATGTTTGAACATTGCAAAATAAATGGTTAACTTTATCTTTAATGAAGCTAAGAGTTCTCTTAAACTAAGAAGCCAAAAAAAATAAAAGTGAGCTCAACTAAAAAAATGTATAAATAAATTTATATTTTATTAGAGAAAGTAAATAAAGATCAAATTGTTAATAATGAATTATTTACTAATAACCCGTATTACGGGTTGCTCACTGTATAAATAAATTTATAATTTATTAGAGTAAGTAAATAAATATTAAATTGTTAGTAATAATTTATTTACTACTAACCCGTATTACGGGTTGCGTACTGCTAGTATATACAATATTAGTAAACTCCTAACATTAGCATAGTGTAGCACAAAGCATTATTTAGCTCAATTTAGCATTTTATTTGGTAATTGACTAACCCGTTGTATAAAATAAAAAAACTTTATATAATGTATATATATATATATATATATATATATATATATATATATATATATATATATATATATATATATATATATATATATATATATATATATATATATATATATATATATATATATATATATATATATATATAATGTATATATATATATATATATATATATATATATATATATATATATATATATATATATATATATATATATATATATATATATATATATAATGTATATTTATATATATATATATATATATATATATATATATATTTATATATATATATATATATATATATATATATATATATATATATATATATATATATATATATATATATATATTTAAAGATAGATATATATAAAGATAGTTTAAATAATACTGAAGATAATGCATTAAATCAACCTGTAATATTTAATCGTTTATAACCAGTGTTAGATATCTTCTGCATGAGAACTGAGAACTCAAATTCAATACCTCTAACCTGAGGATACTATAAAAATATAAAATATAAACATAAGTAGGTCAAAATACCATTACAAAATATTTTAGCAAACCGTAAAAATAAAAAACTCTGGTAACTTTCCTTGTAATATTAGGTTGTTCTTCTAAACTATACCTTTTTTACAAAACAATGATAAATACAAAAATACTGAATAAATGAAAGCAACTGTCCAACTACCAAATAAAATAAAAAAATAAGAAACCAAAATCATTATAGAACAAACAACTTAAGGAAATTATAAAAAAACTCACAACACGAGTATTAATTGGTGGAATATACTGAAAAGATGCAGATCCTCTTAGTCTTCCTTGTTTACAAAGAAAGTATTGAAAACTTGTTCCAGGTGCAAAAATTTGGTAAAGTAAAACGCTACTTAAAATAGCCAAAGCAATGCATGCAATAAAACAAACGCAGATATCTATAAAAACAAAAACCAAACATCTTAATATTCAAAAGCTTAAAGTTTGGTAGCAACCATTCCTGCAATTTAGTTGAAAAGTAACTTAATAAATTATATTTGTCTTGAAAATCAACAGACTTTTTGCAAAAAAAAACAAACAAAAAACTTCTAAAAATTAATTCAATTAAAAAATGTCATACTTTGTTTTCAAACAATCATTCAAAACAGTTAACAATTGAAATTTTTAAATTAAGTGCATTCTTTTCACAATGTATAACTAAAACCTTATTTTTGTTATTTTTTATTTAAACAAAAAGTGTAAATGGAAACAATACTTGTATTAAAATCATCAGTATTATCGTTACTGTTGTTATTATAGTTTTTGTTATTATTGCTTCTATTTTTACTATTATTGTAATTATTATTATTGCTATTATTATTACTGCTAATATTATTGTTAATATTATTGTTATTGTTTTTGTTATTATTTTTGTTATTGTTATTATTGTTATTATTGCTATTAATATTGTTATTATCATTGTTTATATTATTATGTAAATTTATCTCAGTGACATTCCATTAGGAACAAAAAGTTATAACTCTGAGTTAATTTTAAACATACATCTTTTTGTTAACTTTTGTTTTATTGCAACGTGATCAATTTGAGATTCCAAGGTGGGAAGTTGTGCATCGAGTAAACGCCGACTTGCTGATTCTAAGACAGACACTGCAGCTTGAACAATACCTTCCTAAATAAATAAAAAATATATATATATATATATATATATATATACATATATATATATATATATATATATATATATATATATATATATATATATATATATATATATATATATATATATATATATATATATATATATATATATATATATATATATATATATATACATATATATATATATACAACAATATATGCATGTTTTGATACTTGTACTAGAGGGGAAACCCGCAGTGACCGGGACTGCAAAACATTAAATTTTTTTTTAACAAGTGACCCGCATAGTGGGTCACTAACTATTTTAAATATTTCAAAACATCTATGGCATTTGGATAAAAACTTTAAACATATCAAAGGCTCATGTATAAAATTTAAATTTTATTATGGTTAAGAGATTTTTTTGTTTTAAGATAATATAGATATATACTAAAGTAATATTTTGAGCTAGATTTTATGTTAATTATTTTTTGCTAGATTTTATGTTAACTAATTGCCTGCTTCCATTTTTTCCAATAACTAAGAATAGTGAAATAGGTTCTGCAGATAGCTATATATCAACATACTACTGAAAATAAACTTAAATTTTGCTGAGATTGCCTAAAAATCCTCATAGAAATTAAAATAAGAAACATTTTTTTACTAGGAATATTTGTTTGGTCTTTTTATTTTTTTGAATTCTTTAACTCACTTTACCTTTATAAATATGTAATTTCTTTTTGAACTTTATTAGAAAATATTATTAACAATACAAGATCTATATCTAATTTCTAAAATTTGGTGTTTTTCACTAGTAAAACTGACCTGCTATAAAAAATCTTCAAAATATGTTCTTTAAAGTTTTATATGAAAAAGAATGACAGAAATGTTTGAATAGAACACTAAAAAGATGACAAAAAAATTAGACAGAGTTTGAATTGGATATATATAGGTACTTCTCTGTATAAGATGACGTTTATTATTAATAAGTTTAACACCAAATCTTTTTCTTAGTTATTTACCAATTTTAATGATGCTATCTTCAGAAAGCTGACACTAGTTTTTATGAAGAAAACTAAACAATATCTTTTATACAATTTTATAAGGATTATCAAATTTTAAAAATATTTTCTTTCAAGATAATATCTTTAAAAAATATTATTTAAAAAAAATTAATTTTTGGGATATTCTGCTAAATTCTATTTATTAATGCATATTTCTAAAAGACTCCAAAAATTACTATGTAAATTGGAGGTAGGAACAAATGTTTATCCTTCCTCGAACATATCAATGTTAAGAGTTTTAATTTCGTTTTAGTATTATAACTAAAGCACGCGAAATTTGTTTGGTATTAATCAAATTTCATTTAAATATTTATCAAATATTATTTATTTTATCAAAATAAAATATTTATCAATTTTCATTTTGATCAAATTTAAGTACAGTTTTCAATTTCTACGAAATGTAAAGTTTTGTTTTCACCTTTCAAAGCAGCATTGCTGTATTTGATTAGATGAATTGAGTTTCTGCTTTGAATTAAATATAATAAATAGTTTCCAAAACAATGATAAAAATTGTTTAGCATTATTTCTTTCAGGAAAATAGCCGTATAATGGAACCTCAGTTGTTTTGTCAAATATTGCCTATGGAAGTTTTGACAACGTTGTCTATAAGATAAATGACATGATAATCACTTTTACTTGCTTTTTTTTTTAGTTTCTGTTTATTAAGTTAATTTTCAATATACTTTTTTTTATCTCCAGTACATGCTTTATAAAACTATGGTAATGCATTAACATTGGTAGAATGGTTATTGGGAAAAATTATTATTTTAAATTCAGAATGGTGTATTACTAATACACTGCTGTTAATACACTCATCGAATTGATTTTTCTAACATCAATCTACTTTGATAACCGTAGGTGAGGATTTCTAAACATAAGAATATATTTTTAAAACCCTACCATCACAAAAATAAAATTAACTTTATTATATAGCATTATTTATCAATTTTCACCAAATTAATTTGCATTTTAATATTGGGCTGCTTTTTGCAATTAGAATTACAAGAAGCAGGGCTCACTTAAGATACATTTTGATTTCAATGATTTTTCTAACAGACAACAGTTTGTTATTTTCTTATTTTTTATCACTCAGAAATCATTTATGTAAATAAATATGCCTCAACATGATAGAGAAAAATTATTAATTTTATTTAAAGCAATTAACTTAAAAACAGATTGTGTGTCAAATATTTCTTGCCCTACTGTATTTTAATCACCTAATTTGTTGCATTTTATTTGTTGCATATTTGAAACATGCAACATAAAAAAGTATTTACATTGCAAAAAAATTTTTTTGAAAAGTAAATACTCCTAAGAAAAAACTACATTTTATTCCTAATACTTGTAAATATAGGAAATAAAAAATTACAAACCTTTGAAGTTATTTGCAATGGAGAATTGTGGGTAGTTTTAGCAATACGTAAGGTCTTTTAGTAGCATCTAAAAGTCTATTTCAGTTTTTTTATGTAAATAAAATAAATTGAAGTAGGCAATCAGTCAGTGAAAAATCTAGCAAAACGTCAATAACTCAAAGAAAACCTAACTATTATTAAACTATTTTAATAAAATAAGAATAAAATATTTAAAATAAAAGTTGATTTTTAAATATATCCAAAAACATCTTGCAGTGCACTTTCAACCATCGCTAACTTTATTCTATTTTCATAATTAAATTTATTTTTTTCGTTTCTTAGTTACTTTGTTAAGATAAAATGCATATGATAGTACAATTTAAACAAATATTTTATTATGTGACTTTAATAATATTATTTGCTGTGTACTTTCAATTTCAAAAATATCATCTTCCGATTCTGTATCTTCTGGTAACTTTGCAATTGTTGCCAGATTAAGGCAGCTATTATCTCCCTAACATTTCCAAAATAGAGTCCATGATAATCTAGCTTTTCAGCATAAACATTATGTGGTTCAACAAGCCGTAGTGCAGCTACAAGTCACCAGACGCAAAATATCGGGAGGTGTAATTTGGTTTTCAGTAGGACTCATTACTTGAGTGTATGAAGAGGATCCATGGAAGGTGGATCAGTTAAATTAGCAGATTTTCACATTGTCGTTTTGCAGTGTACTTCAAAACAATGAAGCTTGAAAACAGCCTGTGTTGGCGGCAAAGTGCGTAGCTTTGGTTTTACGTGTGTTTTTCGACATTTTCATTGAAAAGATTGCAGAACGCATTGAATTCTACCTCTTGCCTTGTTTTCAATTGTATAAAGATGCAAAAATGTTTGCGAAGAACCAACAAAAATTGTAAATGATATAATATAGTTTAAAATAAAATGATACAAAATCTTTATTGCTAACCACTCCTTTAAGGTTAATTATAGACAGTATTATAATGGCAATTATACGTATAATGAATCTTTCTTAACTTTGTATTATCTGGTTCAAATTTAAATATCTGTGATTCTTTCAAAATCCTGACGTATCTTAAGATATTCATGATTTTGGCAAGATTTTTTTTTGCATTCTTGTTTTTGAAAGATTGTTCTGTGATGTGAGTGAAAGAGATTTTTCACAATTTTTTTTTAACAGGCTAAAAGTGGGGGTGAAAAATTTAACTAAATTTCGACACTTTGTTGACCTTTTAAAGGACTGGTTTTACTTTTTAAAAAACTTTTTCAACTTAAATTACAGAATAAGGCAAAATGAATTCATACAAAAAAGTTTATCTTTAAACCACTTTTAGTTTTTTAGATATGCTGGCCAACATCTTAAAAACCCTTTATCTTAAAAAGACAGCTTTTAAAAACGTTTAAATAAAAAAAATCCAATGTAGTGTAGATAAATATAGAAATCATCATATATTAAATAGTTAAACTATATTACGCACCAGTTTGAGATTGGTTTCCCTCATTTTCAAGTGATTTGTTAATCTATTCTGTATATTTCTTCAAATTACTTGTTTGAGTGTCTTTGCGAGTTCTATATTGTTATATCTGGCTAAGCATAATCTTTTCAGATTAATTTTACCAATGCTAAATTAAACAACTGCCTTAAAAGTGCCAAATTAAAGTTGTGTAAGCTTGAGATAAAAGTTTTTCGGTATACGCTTTATATTTTTATGTTAAAAAATTCATTTTTATTTTTGGTAAGGCCATGAAGAAATTTGTTTAAAAAAATATAACTACTTAATTCACCATAAAATGGCTTATTATGAAAAATACAACTTGTTGCCGTTGCTATAGCGGTTATTAAGAAAGCAAAATATATAAAGATTTAATAAAATTTCATTTAATAAAGTTCCCTAGCAATTTTTCAAAAATGTTTTTGAGATTGTGAATCTCTATTAAGTTTTGAACAAAATAAGAAAATAATAATTTTTTTCAGAAAACTTTATATTTCTTAGGGGTTTTCCATCATAAGTGAGTATTTGCAATGACAATACTTTATAAATGATAATTTTTAAACTTTATTTTGTATACAAACTAAAAAACTATATTATCTAAATGATTTTAGAAACAGTCCAACTATTTTATTTCTATATTATTTAAAGTGTTTTTAGCCTTGTCGAAATTGAATGCAAAACAGTTGAAATCAGCTGCAACGGTGTCGAAAGTTAATGAAATGTACTAATACAATGTCAAATTTAAATGTTACTTTTTGGATTTTACTTTGAAAGATAAAGTAAAATCCAAAAAAAAAGATTCAAAAAAGTGGAGTTCTCTAGTTGGCTCTGAAAACGATTTTAAGATATACTTATATTAAGTTTTAAGTATGATATACTTATTTCAAAAGATAACATGTATTTAATTTAAACTTTAAGTTTCAGAGCTCTAGCAAATCTGGAAGGTAGTGAAAAATTGCAAAATTCCAGGACAACGATAGCCAACAAACATTTTGTGAAATCAAACTAACGTTTGAATAAAACTTGCAAGTTACTAAAGCACAATTTTAATTAAAAAGGAGTATATTTTTCTAATTACCCTTGCACGCGTTACGAGAGTTACTAGGGTGCCCACAACCTATATTAGAAGATTGAACAGCTATCATTATCATCTTTTTTCAAACAGGTTTTATATGATAAAACGCAATAAAAGATAAGATTTGATAAACACTCTTTTAATTACATAAGTTATGTCCTTGCGGATACCAAAAATTTTATATTGCGTCATATTACCCTAACAAAATACTTGATTGAAAAGGCAATTACAAAGAAAAAAAACAGGAGAAAAAGATCGTTATAACAAACAGTGACTTAGTTAAGGCTTACACATGCATGAATTACCCATAGTTTTGAAGTTATGTCTCCTTTCCCCTTACCCCAACCCTCCCTCCGTCAAAGTTTCATTATGGTCACTAACCTATTTCTTCTCAACAAAAAAAGCCCGTCACTACACTACTTGAATACCCACATGTTGATAGTATTTGCCCTAAATTATTATAGAACTACCCTTTATGGTATAAGAGAAAAAAATCTTTTTCCAATGCTCCACTGCAGTTACTGCCCACATACATCAGAACATAACCTGATGTGTTACCCAGAAGGCCCCCCAAACAGGCTCTGGATTTAAGTACGCCACCTATCTCAAAATTTATGTTAAATCAATATGAATAGACTGTTCTTTGAAAAAGTAAATAATATAAATTTCAGCTTACTTACCAACAAAGTAAGGTATAAAACATCAAAGAAAAAATTTATTTCTTTGTAAAACTAAATAACAATTTTATTCAAATTATTTTCATGCTAGCTATCATTCCTAACCAGTCACTTTTACACGTAAAAGTAATTTTTTATTATGATGTAGTTTTACATCACTTTGTAATGTTAGTGTTATGTTTTTTAAAATACTATATTTACATAAGTTTACTGCATAGATAACTTTTTTTACATACAAAAAGTAAATTAAATTTCGATGTAAACTTTTTACATAATTATAATCAAAATTAACTTTTATAGTAATTTAATTTGGCGACTTACTATTAAATGTAAGTTACATTTACAAGTAAAAATAAAATTGCAATTAACTTTTGATTGTAAAAGTATTTTACTTTTTCAAACAACATTTGTTCATTTAAAAACTTAACTTGAGTAATTAAGTTTTACACGTTATATAATTTATGTAAAAAAAAAAAGAAAAAAGAATAACTTTTAAAAGTAAGTAAATTCTATATTTATAATTGAGTTATGTAAAGTAATTTACACTTGAAAGTAACTCCCCGTCGGGTCGCTTTTTTACATCAAAATAAGTAAAAATGCTATTCTTAATACCTACAATCTAGAATTAAACGGATGGAAGTTCAACTGCATTGAATTCCTTCGGGACTATGCTCGTATCCTTTTGTTTGGTAAACAATACGAAAACAATATCAAGACTGTGCTTAAACGCATAACTTTTATACGTTGATGCAAATAGGTACCTTTATAATAATTTATAAATAAAGGTTCGTCAATAATATTCAAAATAAAACATTAAAATTGGCGCAACAAACGGCAAACAACAACTTTTTTATAAACTTCATATTAAATAAATGGAGTACAACAAGAATGAATGAAATTATGATATACAGCTAATAAAAACCATTAACTTTAGATATATAAAAATCAATTTTTTTGATTTTTTATAAACTTGTTTAAGTATGTATATATATATATATATATATATATATATATATATATATATATATATATATATATATATATATATATATATATAAATATATATATATATATATATATATATATATATATATATATATATATATATATATATATACATATACATATATATATATATATATATATATATATATATATATATATATATATATATATATATATATATATATATATATATATATATAAATATATATATATATATATATATATATATATATATATATATATATATATATATATATATATATATAGATGTATTAAAATTAAAAACCATAGTTTAAACACATACTTCGTTATCATCTGTAGCATTATGCGAAGAAAATGCGTATCCAATATGACCACTACTTTGATGCAAATCGATACTAAGATGGTACCTACTTACAGCAAATCCAGGAAATTCTGGAGAGGCATATAGCTCCTCATTAATTTGAACAGAACCTTTTACCTGGACTGGAACAATACCCAACATACATATAGTTTCGCTGCGTCCTTAAACACATTTTAAAATTAAACTAGTTCAAATTACAGGTAAACTTACTCAAATTACTTATATAACTTAAGAAGAAATAATCTTAAACCTTTGAATAGAAAAAAGATAAATTTATGATGTGCATTTAAATAAAATGATATTTATAAAAAAATAATAAAAATATAAAACTTTAAAAATAGGGCACATTTTAACCAAAAATTACAATAATTAGAAAGAGCAATCCATAATTATCAAAATAATGTGCAATATTTATAAATAGCAAATTTATATATACATATATATATATATATATATATATATATATATATACATATATATATATATATATATATATATATATATATATATATATATATATATATATATATATATATATATATATATATATATATATATTTATACATATATATATATATATATATATATATATATATATATATATATATATATATATGCATATATATATATATATATATATATATATATATATATATATAATATATATATTATATAAACAGCAAAAAAAAGAACGCACTTGTGTCTGTTGGAGTTTGAGCCTGCAAGTAATAAGATCGACTAATCACACCCTTAAGATCTGCGCTTGAACAGTTTTTTAAAGTTAACTTTCTTAATTTAAAATTTCCATTTATATCAGCAATTAGTCCCACAACTTCTCCTTCTTTAAAAATTTCATCTTCATTCTCCAGTGGCCAATGATATGCAATGTCACCATTAGTTGTCTGAATGGATTGGCCGAGAAATAAATTTCCAAGTTGTAATGCTTTTGCTTGAATATAATCTGCCACTAACTTATTGCATTTTAGTACTTGATCATTCTCTAAAGAAGTATAAGCTTCTCAAGTTATATATACGTAAATATATAAATGTACATATATATATATATATATATATATATATATATATATATATATATATATATATATATATATATATATATATATATATATATATATATTTATATACTTTTCCCTCGGTCTCACACAATGGAAAAAATAAACTTTAACTACTCATTGAAAAATATTCCGGTACCAGAGAAAACTAGTTATAAGTTACACCTAGTCGAAAAGTCAGAAAATTTTATCAAACAAATGCGCTGGAAAACATTTTTTTTAACAACAAAAATAATAATGCGACAGAAACAGTTGAAACCTTTGGATTTAAAACAAACAGAACCCCATCACAATGCTAAGAACTTGAGCACTTTGAAGCCGAATTATTCGCTTTAGTAAAACCAAATATTTTTAAAAAATTTCTACCGAATTCCAAAAAAAACAAAAGAGTGATATATCGAACATGAAATCAAATCCCAATATCTTGATATTTGCAGACAAAACTAGCATATTTATGAACTACCTCTAAAAGACCACGCTAAACTTCTGAAAGAAAATATAACTAAATCATATAAAAAACCACAATTAAAACTTGAAAACGCAATAAACCTTGAAGCAAAAAGCATAGCAAAAATAATAAATATATTCAACAAATATGAAATAATCGCCAAACCAGAAACGTTCATCACTCTGAAGGACCATAAAATCAATTTTTAAAACATAAAACCATGCCGCCTATTAAATCCAACTAAGAGCGAACTTGGCGTCGTACGCAAAACCTATTTAGATAAGATTAATAAACACATAAAAAGTACATTAAAATTAAACAAGTGGAAAAATACTACTGAAGCTATCATGGTTCAAAAGCATAAAAGAAAAGAAACACTGCACTTTTATTCAACTCGACATTACTAAATTTTACCCATCCATCACACCCACAATTTTAAAAAATTCTCCAACATTTGCAAAACAACTTATAAAAATTAGCGTAGAAAAAATCAGAACAATTATCCGTTGCAGAAAGTCTTTGTTATATTTAAACAACGAAACTTGGAAAAAAAGTCAGCTACCGACTGCTTTGACGTCACAATGGGTTGTTACGATGGAGCCGAGGTTTGCGAGCTGGTTGGTCTGTATATATTAAATTCATTATCTGAAACTGTAACCAACAGCGATATGGGCTTTTAGCGGGACGACAAACTGATAATAATGTGTCAAAAATCTGTTGCACAGATAGATAGAATCAGAAAAAATATTATAAAAAATTTAAAAAAAAATTGAATTCTAAACAGAAATTACGACAAACCTAAAAATTGCTAACTTCTTAGACGTTACATTTAACCTTGAAAAAGACTCATATCATCCTTTCAAAAAACCAAATAGCAACCTATTTTACAATCGAATAGCAACCTACTTTACATTCATCGAGTGCAACCACCCCCCACAAATTATTAAACAAATTCCAATTGCTATAAACGATAGGTTATCCCAGAATTCTTCTGACGAAAAATAATTCGGTAAGGGCAGAATATGACGAAGCCCTGAAAAGAAATGGGTTCTAAGATTTTAGCTATAAATACAACCCTAAAATTGATACCAATGTAATCCCCAATTGTAAAATAAAAATAAATATAATCTGGTTTAACTCACTATACAATAAAAACGTTCTCACAAATATCGGCGAAACCTTCTTACAAATATTCAACAAACACTTTCCAAAACCAAATCCACTTCATAAACTATTTAATCAAAACGCAACAAAATCAGCTGTACAAGCAACATAGCAAAAACTGAAAAGAACCACAACAATAAAATTATTTTGATAAACCCAACGGCCAATTTAGCTTGCAATTGTAAACTAAGCAAAATCTGCCCTATGAATAAAAATTGCAGAGAAATTAATGTAATTTATAAGTGCATTACATCATTGCCAAACACACCCGACAAAACATATATTGGTTCAACAGAGAGCATGTGGAAACGAGATAAGCGAATCACAAACAATCCTTCAAAAGCATAAAACTTACAAATGCATCTACGCTTTTAAAATATCTATGGGATACACAATATATATATATATATATATATATATATATATATATATATATATAATATATATATATATATATATATATATATATATATATATATATATATATATATATATATAATTAAAGTAGTGGTTAAACAAATAAACTTTTGCTCCTGACTACGCATGTCATACAGTTTGGTTATTAGAAGAAACAAGACTTTTTTCTAAAATTTTACCTAAGTACTTTTCTGATCAAGATATAAACGATATCAAACAATTTTATCATGGATTTATCGATGACGCTTTCATAATCTGTTCAAAACAATTGGATATAGTAAAGTTTATGAACTCTTTAACTGAAATAGATTTATGAAACTGAAAAGAAATCTTTTCCTTGACTGCAACTTTTTTTAGCAACTTGAATTGTCAACCTTTCATAATCGAAACTAATCTTTTACTTAATCTATTTTTAGATGAAAAAGTAAAGGAAAGTTTTTAAAATATCCAGCCAGAAATTGCATTCAAACAACCACCTAATCTGTTAAGAATACTGACCTCTGGAAAGTTCAATTTAATTAAAAATGGAGAAAGATTAATTAAATGTGAAGATAATCGTTGAAATATATGCAAATTCTACCTTCAAAAAGTTTACAGCATCAAATAGTTCCATATGGAACAAAAAGATTCATATAACTTGCAATAATAAAAATGTGATATACTATTTAAAATGTTTATCTTGCAATATGAAAACTTCATACACTTGAAAATTTAATATTTAAAGACTATGAAACACATATCCACAAACAAAAACATGACACTTTTATTTGACAATTTCAGTATAAAACAAAAAAAAATTGACTATAACAGTTATAAAAATTAGATTATAGATAATTATCATTTCCTGTTTAAAGAATATAAAGAAAATAAATTACTATTTCAATAACATAAATAGCACTACTGATGATTTTTTGAAAGGCCTTTAATGCTGAAAAATATAAAACTTAAATTTAGTGTATCTAACTTAATAGTAACAATATAAAAAAGAAATCTTTTATATGCAGTGTTTATATATATGTATATATATATATATATATATATATATATAATTTTTTTTTTTTTTTTTTTTTGTCCTTATAATCATGTTTTTTTGTAAAAAAAGCATCCTTAAGAAACTTTTATAGAGAATGAAAGTACATACATCGACTGAAAAATAACGTGACTCGCGAGGGAGCGCTGCTATATCAACTGAGGGTTTGGTTAGGCCAAGCATCAAGTTCAGGCCTAGGGTTAGGGTTACGGCAAGGTTTAAATTTGATTATATTACTGTAATTAATTAATTTAAAAAGAAATAAATTGAGTGAATCATTCAAAGTTTTTGGGAGTAATATTTGATGAGAACCTATCATGGAAAAAACTTATTGGTCTTATTGAAGCGAAAATATTTTCTGATATAAGTGTATTATATAAATCTGGGCCTTTCTTGATTATAAAACACGCAAAATGCTTTACTTCAGTCTTGTTTATTTTCATCTCTCCTATGCTTATATTGTTTTGGCTAACACACACAAAACTAAATTATTAAGATTACAGAGCCTACAAAACCACGAATGTAAAGCAGTTAACTATTTAAAGACATTAGAAAACCCTTCCCCTGTAACGAAATACATAAATGTTTTAAATATGAAAAAACTTATTTCGCTTCAATTATTAATATTTATGTACAATTATAAGAATAACTTGCTGCCGAAAGTGTTTTCTGATATTTTTAAACAACGATAACTATCACTTGATCATAGTAAAATCGCAAGTGTCGAAATTCTCAATTATTAGCAAAGGCCCGTTAATATGGAATCAATTAAAAAATAACAATATAAAAAAATTGAAAAGCACTTTCTAATTTAAACGATAAATGAAACTGCATCTCCTTAATTTCTGACATATATGTAAGAATGGTTGTATATGTGTGTGTTTTTATGATTATATGTATATATGTGTATATATGTATATATGAGTTTTTCTTTACTCTTCACATAGTATTTAACAGATAAAATATTTTTTGTAAGTTTTCTAAAGTTAAGAGGGCTTTAAATGATATTATAAAGGAACTCTATGAAAAGATTGTGGTAGCATCAGTCATCTTTATCTTCTTTGAGCCCGTGTTTGTTTTATATATATTCTTTGTGTAATGTAAAAATTTTATTGTAATTTTATTATTTTATTTTTATATAAACAGCGAAAAATATATAAAAAAAAAAATCGTTTTTGTAAATAAATGAAGTTAAAAATGAAATATAAAATTAAGTTAATAAATAAAAATAACAAAAATTAATGTAAAAAATGTATTTTTATAATAAAATAATAAATTTTATTATGTATATATATATATATATATACATATATCTATATATACATATATATATTATATATATCTAGCTCGTAAAACTAAAACACTTTATTAAAGCTCGGTACCAAGTTTTCTTCAATTTTGAAAACATAATTTAAAGTAAATTTAATAAAATTAAATTTATTTTCAATCAAGTTTTTACTATTGAATTATTATTATTATAAAAAAAAAATCATCTATAGAATTAAATTACAATATATACTGAAACCGAGTGAATTGATTTTAAAAAATTGATGAAAAACTGAACTAGTAATATTTATTGATAATGAAAAACTTTTAGTTATTCTTACATTTAAATAGATAATAGATATCAGTATATAAAATGTGGCATAATCTTGTTATTTAACAGATCCCTAAATACAATCTTTAAATGATAATGTGGATTATGTGTTATTATAGCATTAAGTCAGTAATTGTTGCATCCGTTATTATTGCATCGTCGTTCTATATGGCGTCTATTACATGTAACGTAAAATAAGGATCAACATTTTTACTTATTTGTTCAACAACATTTCAATTTGCATCACGACATGAAGCAATTTAAATGTGCTATTTTGTTCAACAATATTTAAACTTGCATGATTCATGCAAGTGCAAATGTTGTTGAACAAATTGACAAGATTGTTGATCATAATTGTATTTGACATTTAATACATGTCATATACAACAATGATACAATGCATACTTTTTTTTCTTTAACTTTTTTTAAATGACCTTAAATAATAATTTAGATGTTTTTTATAATGTAAAGTTTTACATTTTATTTTATTGGAGGCACACAAAAAGTATTATTTTGTAAATAAAGTCAGCAAAATTGATTATACAAATAAGGGAACTCACCATAAAAAAACTGACAAGTTTTTAAAGAGCTTAAATTTTTATAATAATCAAGATTTTTTCTAAAGTTTAGACAATTTAAGTCAAGATGATGATCTAAATTCTAAATTAGAAAAGTCAAACTTAAAATAGCTTTCATTGCAAGACAATGTTATTTTATGGTAAATTTAGTATAACATATCGAAAAATGCATTTTCAGCTATATTAAAAGTAATTGGTCCTGATAATAATTTACCCATTTGTGCTGCCAC